GGGCAGGTAGTGCTCCGCCTTTGCTTTCCGGCTGCTAACGTGTGCATAGGCAGCAAGTACGAGAGTGAGGGCAGGGAACAGGTTGGACATTTGGCTTGGCCGTGGTGGGATGTGGCCCTTTAAAGGAGCCCAGACTCCCTGCTGGGAGCGAGCACTCCCCTGCCCCACGGCAGTGACTGTCTCCCTTTCTCCTCCCTCCAGCTCCGTTCAGGCCAGCAGACACCAAGAGCATCGTTCGAGTTGACCGCTACGGTGATGGGATCGGGCGCTACAACATCTTCAACTATCACCACATGGACGGGCAGTATCGGTACCAGCAGGTGGGCTACTGGGCTGAGGGGCTCATCCTCAACACCACCCTCATCCCGTGGGCTGAGACCTCCATCCCTGTGTCCCAGTGCAGCGACCCCTGCAAGAAGAATGAGATAAAGAGCATGCAGCCCGGAGACATCTGCTGCTGGATCTGCATCCCCTGCCAGCCCTACGAGTACTTGCTGGATGAGTTCACCTGCATGGACTGCGGTCTCGGTTACTGGCCCAACGAGACCCTGAATGGCTGCTACGAGTTGCCCCAAGAGTACATCCGCTGGAAGGACGTCTGGGCCATCGGTCCCGTCACTGTCTCTTGCCTGGGTTTCATCTCCACCCTCTTTGTTTTCGGAGTCTTCATGAAGAACAACGACACCCCCATCGTGAAGGCCTCTGGCCGGGAGCTCTGCTACATTCTCCTGACCGGGGTGCTCATGTGCTACAGCATGACCTTCATCTTCATCGCAAAGCCCTCCACCGAGGTGTGCACGCTTCGGCGCCTGGGGCTGGGCACATCCTTCGCTGTCTGCTATTCGGCCCTCTTGACCAAGACGAATCGCATCGCCAGGATCTTCAGCGGTGTGAAGGAGGGGGTCCAGCGCCCCCGGTTCATAAGCCCCACATCGCAGGTGGTCATCTGCATGGCCCTCGTCTCTTGCCAGCTGATCATCGTCATCATCTGGCTGCTGGTGGAGACCCCTGGCACAGGCAAGGAGACCGAGCCTGGCAAGAGGTACATAGTCACCCTCAAGTGCAACAACCGCGACTCCAA